CGTCGCCCGCGCCGACCGGGCTCCGCGACCGCGCGGACGCGGCGTCGTCGTCGCCCGCGCGGTCGGCCGCGCGCGAGGGCTTGGACAGGATCTCGATGGGCACGGACCGCGAGCCGCGGACGGGCGCGTCGCGCGGGCCGGCGACGAGGACGAAGCGCTGGTTCTGGTGGCGGGAGCTGAGGTCGTTGACGCGGACCTTGAGCGTCGCCGCGGCGCCGGCCGCGAGCTCGAGCATGGGCTTCGACTCCTCGGCGAGCTCGAAGAGGGGCACGGGGCGGTTCACGATCTTGCTCTGGTTGAAGAAGCCGACCTGGATCTCGCCGGAACCGCAGAGCGGGTCCACGAGCGGGTCCGTCGCCGCCTCGTAGAGCAGCCAGAGCGCGAGGCTCACGCGGTCCCTCGTGCCGTTGTGCACGGCGACGTACATCCAGTTGCTGTTGCCGCCCATGTCCTTGTACCACGTGAAGCTGCCCTCCTCCATGGACCCCTCGAAGCAGTTCTTCCCGCTCTTGTTCTGCGCCGCGGCGATGGACTTGATGCGCACGACGCCGCGCCGGGGGCTGCACGACGGCGGCGGGAGGCCCATGGCGCCGCCGCCCGAGGGATGCGGGTCGCGCGGGAGGTCGACGGAGACGGCGACGGGCTGCGACGCGTCGAAGGCCTCGGGCATGGTCGTGTTGGTGCTTGGCTTTCCCTGCCATCACATGACGCGGACCGGGAGTGCCGGAAACGAGAATAGAGCGATCGTTGGACTAGTTATTGAAGGGGGTGCGCACCGATCGTTACAAGTATCGTTACATGGTTTATTGTCAATCGCGGTTACCGATATATTACAGCTGTATATACACCGCGCCGCGAATTCGCCGCGCGATGCTCCGGGCCCAACACCATGCCCTGCCCGCCGCCCGCGACGATCGAAGCGCCGGAGGACAGCGTCGGCGGCGCCGAGGCCGGGAGCATCCGGCATCCCATCGCGCTGGCGAGCGGCTGCCCCGTGCGCATCGTGCTCCGGCCGCGGCAGGCGCTCCACTTCACGCTGCCCGGCTTCCGCGGCACGCGCAAGCTCCTGCGGCACGACTGGAGCTACGACGGCGCGCCGCCGCGGACGCTCTTCTCGGCCCGGCGCGCGCCGCGCTACCACGAGGGCGGCGAGAGCCACTTCGACTGGTACGACGCGCCCCTCGAGGCCGAGGACGGCGCCGTCTACCGCGAGGCCGCGGACGGCAAGGACGCCTACGGCTGCTCCGACTTCTGCCAGTTCGACTTCCTCGAGTGCGACTGCGCCGGCGGCGACTGGCGCGAGCGAAACGACGCGCTCCACGTCACGGTGTCGCACCGCGACGGCCTCGAGCCCGTCGCGGGCGTCGTCGCCTTCGCGGCCGCGGAGCCCGGGCGCGCGGCGCCGCCGCCCTGCGGGTCCCCGGGGGCGCCGCGCGCGCCGGTCGAGGTCGCGCTCGCCGTCGCCGTCGCGGCGCTCCTGGCCGCGCTCGCGGCCGCGCTCGTCGCGCTGCGGCGCGCGCGGCGCCGCGGCGCCGCGGCCCGCGCGCCCGTCGTCGAGCTCGCGCCGCCGCTGGATTCCAGCGACGACGTCGTGCCGACGACGCCGACGACGCCGACGCCGCTCCTCCGCGACCGGCCCGACGCCCACGGCCGCCGCCTCCGGGCGCCGTGACGGACCCGCGCGGGCGCGCGCTCCTACGATGACGCGTGTGACGGACCCGCCACGCTTACGCCGTAACGGGCCCGCTACGATTACGCGGCGCGGGGCGCCGGCGCCGTCTCCCGGAGGGGCGCGAGCGTCGCCTCGTCGAGGAGCACGCCCGTGACCGTGTGGGGCCGGGGCCCCGACGGCGACCGGGGCCGCGCCCGGCGCAGGACGCCCCGGCTCGCCGCGCGCGGCGGCGGCGCGTCGACGTTGCCCACGGCGAGCGCGGGCGCGCCCGCGCGGTCCGCGCGGAGCGAGCTCGCGCGCGGCGCGACGCGGCGCGGCTCGTCGAAGCGGTGCGTCGTCGCGCGGAAGGGCGGGCTCGTCGGCTGGCCCCGGGCGCAGTCCCGGGGCGCGTCGTAGGGCGGCGGCGAGTCGAGCGCCGCGGCCGTGTTGAAGCCCGCATGCGGCCGGCCCCAATTCGACTTGTACTCAAAGGGCGAGTTCGACGTCGACGACTGGAACGTCGCCTGGCGGCTCACGTCGCCGCAGGTCTCGTCGGGGAGCCAGGGGTCCCGGTGGGCGTAGGCGCCCGGGCCCGGCGCGAGGCGCGACGCGCGCGGCGGCGCGAGGCGCTCGGGCGAGAGTCCCCAGTGGCTCCGGTACGGGTGGCGCCGCTGGCGCCGCCGGCGGCCCCGGTCGACGTCGTGGAAGCGCTCGTGGAGCACGACGCGCTTCTTGCGGAAGCCGTGGAGCCGCCCCCGCGTGTCGAACTGGCGGAGCCGCGGGAACCGGCGCTCCTTGGAGAACGCGGGCTGCGCGGCGCGCCAGAGCCGGCCGTCGGCGGCCTCGGCGTCGTAGTAGTCGAGGCTGCTCAGGCGGCTCGCGGCGTCGGGCGCCCGGTCCGCGTACTTCTCGACGACGTACTTGTCGTAGGGGTTCGGCGCCGACGCGCCGGAGGCGCGGCCTTTCACCCAGGACGCGAAGGTCTCGCCGCGGGCCTGCATGGCCCGGCTCGACGTCGCGGTGACGGCCGTGCGCGCCGTCTGCTCCGTGGCCACCGTGGTGGTCCCGGACCCATAGCTCAGCACGGACCCGCTCAGGAGCGTGTTTTGCGGGAGGCCCATCGGATTAGCGCGCCTCCGACGAGCGGAGTTACGCGAGGCCGCTCGTGAAGGCAAGGTTGAACGTCACGAGACGATGGCCGCCGCATGAGCGCGCGCCGCGCCGGGCTGCTCGGCGCGCTCCTCGTCGCGGGCGCCGCGGGCCAGGCCGACGGCGGCGCGCTGGAGCGCGCCGTCGCGGCGGCGGCGCCGAGGATGGCGGCCTGCGCCGCCGCCGACGCCGCCACGCAGCCCTACCTGAGCTGCGAGCTCCTCGCGGCGGGCGACGCGGCCATGGGCGGCCGCGGCGGCCTGCGCGTCCACCGCGTCGCGCGCGCGGCGCTGCGCGTGGACCGCGGCGCCGAGCCGCCGCGCGTGGCCCTCGCCGCGACGGAGGGCTTCGACGTGCCCTCGTGCTCTCCCGAGGGCCGCTGGGGGCCCGGCGGCTGCCGCGCGTCGCGCGCGGGCTTCGCGGGCAGCGCGCTCGTGCTGGCCCACCCCTGGGCGGGCAACTACCAGCACTTCTGCTTCGAGCTGCTGCCGCGCGCGGTCGTCTTCGCGCGGCTCCTCCGCCGGGAGCGGCCGGCCGCGGCCGTCGCGCTCGCCCGCGTGCGAATCAAATATTCAACCCGACTTCAATGTGATCGTATGCGACAGTTTCGACGCAATCTCTTCGGCCGTGCTTCGAGAACTCGACGAGAGCAATCGATTCGTCCAAAAATCAGCCGAATCGACTTCGATGTGACCGAGCTCGAGAATTCTCAAGTTTGGTCAGGACCACCCAAACCAGTGGTCGAATTCCACACAGGTCCTCGCGGGCCTCGACGCGCCCTGGCAGCGCGACTGGCTGCGCGCGGCGGGCGTCGGCGACGTGCGCGTCGCGGGCGACGGCGACGCCTGGGCCGAGGTCTGGCTGCCGGCGCCCGTGGCCTCGAACTTTGGCGCGTGGACGCCGCTCGCGCTCGACGCGCTCCGCGCGGTCCGCGACCGCGTCGCGCTCCCGCGCCGCGGGGGCGGCGTCGTCTACGCGCCACTGCAGCGCCGAAACCAACCCGCCGCGTCGCGTCCCCGAGGACCGCCCGCCGGCGTCGCCCGCGCGCCGACGCGTCGCGGCCCCAGGCGTCGCGCCGCGACTCGACGAAGCGGCGCATGACGAACGAGGCCGCGCTCGCGGCGGCGCTCGCGGCGGCCGGCGTGCCGGCCGTCGAGTTCTCCGACTACCCGACCGTCGCGGGCCGCGCGGCGCTCCTCGCGAACGCGTCGCCCGCGGGGCAGCACAAGGGTGATTCAACGTCGCTTCAACGTGAATGTTCCGCGCGCGCGCGTTCCGGAAAAAGCATCCACGCTTCGAGACCGTTTCAAGAGATGATCGCTCGTCCAAAAATCAGCCGAAACGAGTGGAAAACGGCCGAGATCGGAGCCTTTGAAGTTGGGAATTTCGCTCTCTTGTGCTGCCCTGGTCGCCCGCGGCGCGGACGTCGACGACGGAGCCGGCGCGTCCCGACCGCACTTCAACAGTGCGCACGAGTCCTCGCGTCGAAACGGTCGCGAGTCCTCGCGTCGACGTCGGGGCGAAGCGTCGAGTTCCGCGCAGGTCGCTCGTCGTCGCGCCGTTCGGCGCCGCGGTCGCCAACGTCCTCGCGGCGCCGCGCGGGACGGCGTGGCTCTTCCTCTGCCCGCCGACGATGTGCAAGGCGGGCGAGCTGGCGTTCTCCCGGGACCTCGCGGCCGCGCTCGACGTCTCGCTCGCGTTCCTGGAGGGCGTCGGCGCGCGCGCGGACCCGGCGGCCGCGGCCGCGATGAACAGCCCCTGGGTCGCGGACGTGGAGAAGGTGCTCGCGGGCGTCCAGCGCGCGCGCGGGGCGAGGCGACGGCGGGGGTAAGGAGCTTCGTCGGCGCGCTCGCCATGACGGCCGCCGGATTCGCGCGAGCCCCGCGCGGGCCGTCGTCCCTTAGTCCCCGCGCGGGCAGCAGACCGGCAGGCCCGCCAGCCGCTCCCCGGGCCCCAGGCAGAGGTACGCGAGGGTGCCGTCCCTCGCGAGCTCCGCGGCGAGCCTGCGGCCGTGGCCCCAGGTCGACGTGGTGTAGTTCCTGGGGTTGAGCGGGTAGGGCCGGTCGACGTCGAACGGGTCGCACTCGCCCGGGTTCCGCAGCCAGCAGCTCGCGCACGGCTCGCGCGTCCAGAAGAGCGCGTAGTCGGTTTCGGGCGCCGCGAAGCGCGCGTTCGCGTCGCCGCGCGGGTCGCCGGCCCAGAGCGCGCGCGCCCAGGCCGCGTCGCCGCGGGGCAGGCCGCCGAGCCCGCAGAGGTCGCGCCCGCCGCGCGCGCAGGCCGCGCGCGCGTCGTCGAAGCGGCGCGCGGCGCGCAACCCCGGCGCGACGGCGGCCGCCGGCGGCGCCGGCGCCGGCGCGCCGCGGAAGCGCCGGCCCCAGAGGTCCTGGGCGTAGGGCACCGTGCGCACCTGGCCCTCGCGCGCGAAGGCGTAGAGGCGCAGCACGCGGTTGTCGATGTCCGTGATCGCGAGGGACGACGTCCCCGGCAGCCGCGCCATGGCGTGCGGCCGCGAGAACTGGGCGGCGCCGAAGGCGCCGTCGCGCCAGCCGTTGGCCTTGTCGTCGCTCGTGAGCAGCGCGCATCTGACGTCGCCCCGCGCGTCGACGCGGTAGAGGCCCTTGGCGTCGGACACGGGCTGCGGCCCGCTGAGCACGTAGTAGGCGCCGCCGGCCTCGACGACGTCGCGCGCGTGGCGGTCGCCGCACGCGGCGCGGAAGCCGACGGACGCAAAGGTCGCGCGCGACCGGCGGCGGCTCACGTCGGCGAGGCGCAGGAACGACGCCTCGTCCGTCGCGAGGAGCGCGGACCCGTCGTCGGACGAGAACTGGAGGCCCGAGAGCGCGGTGATGCGGAGCTCGAACTCGTCGCCGCGGCGCGGCCGCAGCTGGGCCACGGGGAGAAGCCCCCCGTCGGCCGCGTCGGTCGCGTCGAAGACGAGCACGCCGTAGCCCATGGCCGCGACGTAGCCGTCCCGGCCGTTGGGGGCGATTGCGACCATGCGGAGGCTCGCGTTCAGGGACGGCCCGTGGCCGGCGTCCGCGAGGCGCGCGACGCCGCGCCCGTCGACGGGCCGCGCGACGACGCGCGACGACGCCAGCTCGTCGAAGGTCCCGGTTTGCGCCATGGCGGCCAGCGGCCGCGCGAGGTCCACGCGCCAGAAGCTCGGCTTCTCATCGTTGCCGTTCGAGGAGACCCAGGCGGTCGCGCAGGCGGCGCAGGACCCGACGCCGGTCGGCGACACCCAGTCCTGTTTGCGCGTCGTATTTGTCCGCGCGCGGTTGTACCTGTCCACGGGCCAGAAGAAGTCGCCGACGCGCCGGCTCGCGCGCGTGTCCACGGCGAAGAGCGCGGCGAAGTTCGAGTCCGTGATGACGACGTGCGTCGCGTCGACGGCGAAGATGCCGACGGGCCCTTTGCCCGTCGACGACGACGGCGCGACGCACAGAGACAACGCGGCGATGCGCAGCCAGCCCTGCCGCACCGCCATTCCCATGGGCTGCCGAGATCTCACTGACGGATCATCGAGCGATCACCATCTGATCATCATCATCTCGAATTTTTTCGTATATGTGGCTGGCTGAGGAAGGTTAAAATGCAACAATCTTGGCGCAAGCCCGAGCCGAGATATAAGCTGAGGAATGTTAAAAATCGATGAAATGGCCATACAAACCACAACTTTGGAGGTCTCGTTCTCGGCCCCATGGCCACCGATTCCTTTGGTTCTTGTTGCATCTGAAAGAGCTCAATGTCGTCTTGCGCGCTGGGCCATTAACTCCGAATCTTGAACCGCCTTGAAAAGTTGCATTTCAACGTTCCTCAGCCACATATGTATTTTTAGCTGCCCAGCAAGAGGTATGCACAAACAACCTTAACCACTGTCATGCTGATCTGAGATGGGTGCTCTGAGAATGGGGTGAGGTAGTGGTGGTGGTGGTGGGGGTGGTACCCCTGGGGCCGCTGGAGACCACTCGAATCCACCGGAAATATGCTTGTTTTCAAAGTTGGCTCTATCGACCAGTTTTGATCTCGAGCTCGAGCAAATTGGGGTTT